GCTGCTGCTTAAGTGGAAGAAGTGCAGGAAGCCTCAGGCAGAGGAGGACAATGACATCTCAAGGAGAATGACACCCCAAAGAGAAAGGCCCTGGAAATGATAGGCCTGTCGGGGCAAAGCACCAATGGATCTCATCCTTGCAAATGTGGACCAGTTGCTCCTGGGGCCCGGAAGATAGAAGCACGTTTCTCTGAGGACAGTGTGAAGCCGAGGACATTGAAGCAGGTCATCTCCCAAAGGTGGTGTGAGATTGCCACCGGTAACACCATCCACCCTCCCCATGTATACGGCTGAAACCTTCTGTCTGGCTGTCTGCCGTGACACGAGTGAACCCGCCAAACCCAGACCGAGCCCCCATCCTACGCACCCCCCTCCTTTTGTTCTGAAGTCCTTTTATGCCGCCTGAAACAACAGCACCGGTCATGCCAGGATGCACCTCCCAGATGGACTCTCGCTGTCATCAATGCTCAGCTCTCAGCGACAGCCCTGGGGAAGATTGCACTGTAGCCCGAAGCACTGCTTGCCTTTAAATCTCTCATTTATCCTCACTTAACCACCATTAAGCAGTCTACTGGTCCATCCCGCCCTATCTCCAGCCATGGAGCCGGCAGTCCAGCGTGCACCTGCGGCCGAGGATGGGGTGGGGGGGGGCTTCCCGGGCTGTTCTCCCTGCCTGCATCCTCCACTCTGTTTGCACAAGCTTGGCTCAAGGGGGCCGCAGGATTAAAAGGCAACATCTCGGCACTTGCAATTGCCCGTTTACCCTTCATGAGCCGAGCTCCTCACTGAGGGGTTCTCCCCCTTTTTTTGCAGTAGTGCTCTGCCCAATGGAGAACGGCCTGCGGTGACAGCGCAAGGCTGGATTTGCTTCAAGGCCTCTCCAGTTTACTCGAGAACTCCCTCCACAGCTTGCCATGTCCACCTTTCTCTCTGCCTCATCTCGGTTCGGAGAAGTCTCCTCCCCAGCCCAGCAATTTATAACTCCGAAAGAACACCCGTACCCACAAAGCCGTGCTGTTTGTATACAAAATCCCAGCATAACAGGCCTCCTCGCCATTCATGGATACCGGGGTGCACGCTTCCATGTGAGAACCCCTCAACCCGCCTGCCCGCTTCCCCCTGCTTCAAGTTTGGCACCACAGACATCCGAAAGATACATGGACTTTAAGCGCTCGCAATCGACCGAGTGACGCCCTACTTCTGCCGGTTAGCGAGCTTGTTTATGCTAAGAGCCTCGCTGGTGAGAGACTTTGAGATTTCTACCCTCAGCATTGCCGCAGGCACAGGAAGCCTGACCTGGATACGATGCTTTCATGTAAATGAATGAATAAATTATACTTCCACGGTCAGACATCAATAATTAATCACTGTTTCCCTTTCTGGTGGCTAAATAAAAATGACACACGACATTGAGAAGGTCGTAAACAATCTGGAGAGTTCTCTGGACTGGTTCATTGTAACAGCACAGTCCCGGGGGAACAATTCACGGGGTTGCGATGTAAAGAGTCTGCTCCTTTATTCCTGCAATCCAGCTGCAACCTGCATCTGACAGCCTCTTTCATGGCAGTCAGTGTGCTCAGCCACGCTTCCCCGTCCCAGCCCAGCTGCCAATTCTCCCGCTGACTCAGCGCGCGCACATTTATAGCTAAGAGGGAAGAGTAATCTGTAATCAGCGCTGGCAAAACATAATGAGCTTGCATACTCGGCCACTTGGAAGAAAATATTTGGACAAAGTGGGTCTTTCGTTCGTCTTTCTTCACCCCAGAGGTCTTGGCTTAGGCTCGGATGGGCATTCCTTATCCCTCACGTCCGCATACGAAGGTGCGATCCTCTCCGGATTGCAAATCAATATTGCAAAGCAAAGGGCATCACTTTAATTGATTTAACTTTAATTTACTCAGCAGCCACTCACTGTTACATGGAGCATTTTGCATTTTATATTGGGAATAATTAACTTCCAAAAGGCATCTGGCTCAGAGAGTGTCATTGTTACACTCACACCTCCAGGGCTGCCAGGTTGAGCTGAACCATCAAACCTGCATGTGTGTGGGATGCCATGTCCTCTGCGTGTTTCTGCACATCTCTGCATATCAGGTGAAGGCCACGTGCTGAAATCATCTGATGGATTGATGTTAACATTTTTTAACATGCAAGCTGCCATAAATGATTAATACAGTAACATATCTTGGAGCGCGTAACTTTGCCTGTTTTCAGTGTTCCCAAAATAAAACTACATAATTATATATAGTATGTATATTTTTTGTTTTAAGAAACTTTGTCAAATGATTCCAGCTGGCAGATCTCACAGGATCTCGCTACGAAACATGGCAGGGCCAACGAATGTGTCCGAGTGCCAACCTCACACGCGTTTGTGAAAATGCACTTTCGGAAACCAAAGCCAAATATGCAATCTTGTCGGCAGCCACCAGAACTGGAACAGAATACCTAGGAACCAGTAAGGTGGTAAATGGAGCTGATTAGTGCATCAGGAATGCAACTATTTCACAGTGCATTTCACCTGTGTTGACAGTAGTCAATTGCCAGTGTATTTCTTTGCTGAAGCTGGTTTCTCTGATCTTCTTAGGAGAAATCCACTTTTACTTCAAGGAAACGGTGCAGAGAGGAGCCGTAAGAGGAAGCCTCACTGTCTGTCACTGTCAGCAAAAGAAGTAAATTCTGCTCCAGTTGCCATTCATTACACAGAAATCAGGAAATAATCACATTCATGCATGTAGGACCCTTAAAGGTCATTCTGGCCTTTGTCTTTTATATATGTACTATCTTAGACACACATCACCAGGTACTAAGGAGCTCTTGTTTTTCCGCTGGCTGATGCATGACTGATGATGCTGGCCTTTGTTTTATGTGCTCTTTATAAGAGCAGCTTAAATTGTCTTTGCAGAGAATGGGTTGAATGAGGGCCACAGCTAATCAGTGAGGGTTAGTATAAAAACGCTTATAATAATGAAATTAGCCTTGAGGGCAAAACAAATTAATAGTAGATTTCTGTAAATGAAATATCAAAAAAAAAAAACCTAGCAGACCTACACAGTGTCCAGTTAGAAAGGAGACCAGTACAGGCAGCCCTTCGTTTTTGGGCCCAGTCGTCATCTTCTTCTTCTTCTTCTTCCCATCTAAACATTGGAATCTCATTGGAATCTCAGGTACGTGACCATGAAGGATACACTTAATACGAAGTCCCCCGTCATTTACTTATTAATTCACGATCGGATCTGTAGCACATGGGCACGATGGATTATAAATCAGCCATTTGCCATGAAAGATTCATTCAATCCATAATGCATAACTCTGTTAATTTATTTATCAGTGTTAAATGTGAGTTCCTCTCTTCCCTTTGGGTCCCCTGGTTTAAGAACGGCATTACGGGTGAGATAGAGGAAGAGGATTCAGTTGTGACGGACCCCCACTCCTCCAGCAGATCGCCCCGACTCAGCTGACTGCCGGTTAGAATTTTCTGGTAACACTCACAACCTGTGTCACGTATCAGACGTCTGTGGCGTGCGGCAAATCCACCAGATTTTTGGGTCGTCCCTGAGTTTCTCTGTAGCTACCCGAGCAGCTCGCAACTTCTGGCTGGATTGATAGAACAATGACGGCTGGCTGGCTTCTCCTGTGGCTCTGTCATTTTTCATCTGCTTCCCTCCGAGTGGCTCATGGAGAGGAGAACGGCAAGGTTCCAAAACGCTGCCATCTCCCCGCAGTGCGTGGACTGCCATCCCAAGCACCGAGGAACCTGTGGAGGACTGTTCCCCGAACGCCTTTGTGTCAGAACAGAAACACCATGCAAAATTGAAAATAAATAAATAAGCAGTCTGACTGCTGCCACCAGGCGTTACAGCGATAAGAGGGGATTGTCACCATGCAACAGCTGTGAAATCCTACAAGGCTTTAGGAACAGGCCAAGCTAATCAAGGTGAGCAGATGGGGCTATTTTAAGAGACACAAATGTTTCGACAACCACATCCCAATTCATTTCTAACGCTAATCACTAATGACCTCACAAAAGCAGCTAAAAATAAATGCCAGACATTTTTTATTATTAATAATGGACCCTGTTTGCTTATTTTTATCCAGAACTTTCCAACAATGTAATTTGTATTCCTTGCTACAGAAAATTGCTTTGGACCCGGAGGCTTGTCAAATTCTTTATTTCGCATTCGGCGCGGAACGAGATCAAAGGGATGCTGTAATCAATACCCAACAACTGCACCCTGATGTAGCAAATGTACTAGAAAATATATGGAAATAAACCCGGGGATGAAGATCTGAAGGTCTGAGAAGTCAATATGCAAGCCTAGCATTAGCTACTGCAGTAGGGCTAAAATCCAGCATACTGATATACAAGGGTCACAGGTGGAAGCGTAAATAAGTCAGTGTTTTTACAGAAATGCCAAGAAAATACAAACGTGCCCTAGAAGGAGGCGAGATCCAGCACTAAGAGAAACACAAAGAACCATTGAGTCCACAGCTTTATGGACCCCAAAACAGAAAGATGGCTGGACACAGTCCATCTTTAGCAGTAGGGAATTCTATTCAGCTCTTTTTCTTCCTGACCAGGGAACTAACATCCATACTTGTTAAATCCCCCCCAACGTGGTGCAGTCACAGAATGGATGGAGAGCCAATCAGAGACAGGCAGAGCAACGCAGATCATAAATTACAGTGAGGAGGGCAGGATTCTGCCAGACTGCCAATCCGCATGGCACAAAAAAGACATCAAACTATCAGTATAGCCAACACACAGCTGGTTATGTGCAAACAGATATGGATAATCTGTAAATATAGGGGCTGTCAGTCTGAGCATACTACTGATGTTTCCTAATGAAAACACCAAATTAAGCCAAACATGACACAATCCTCTTGGTTGCACAGTAACCAAAACACTAATTAGCAAGTTGCCGATTTGATTTAGTCCGGTGGTGTTCACACCACCAGGGGAATGGGGGGGGGGGGGGGGGGGGGGGGGGGGGGTTACTCACAGGTGGTCGGCTTGTTACAGTTGTGCCCATGCCTGAAGTACTGCGGGTTCTCGATGACCGGGATCCGGGTCATGCCAATGACCACAGCATCAGGAGCAGCATCCAGGGTGCAAGGTGTAATGATGCCATGGTTCACGTGATGGAGGGGGCTCGCCGAATCCTCCTCTCCACTGATCACCGCTACAGGACCTGCGGAGCAAGAGAAAGATCCATCAACATCCAAACGGACAGGGTTTCCCCGGAACCGAGGGCTTACCTTCATGACATGGCACCGATTTAATCAACACAGAACTCCCATAAATAAAAGATGTGGCATTCATAATTTGCCCACAATATATCTGTAAAGAATAAATTGCCTTTCAGGCTAACGCCACCGTTAATGGAACAAAATATATCTGTCTGATTGAGTATTACAAGCAGGAGGATCCAGCGAGATGTTTCACCAGGCCAACACTGGCTCAGCTAAGGTAATACCTCAGCGGTTCTGGAATTGACATTAAGCCTCCATTAAGGCTCGCCATGCACCAAATCCCTCTACTCGATTGAAACATATACGCACAAGCTACCAAAGCTGACAGCAGCACAAAAACGAAGATGCACGCAAGATGCTCCAAGTAGCACTGCTCACTGTCATTGGCCATGAGCAGAAAGGGGCCCGGCGGCTTGCCTCATTCGCACGGTACTCCATATTACCCGGCTCACATTATAGATTCAGTGGACCATCACAAAGCTCAATGTTTGGGCACCACCTCGAAACAAGGGTCAACAGCTTGCTGAGCCAATTTGAAACAGTGCCAGATTACAACAGAAGTCATTTAAGGTTACCTTTCCTATAGAACATGTCTATATATTGCCCTTTTATGAAATAAACTAAATTTTATTTACCTTATTTACACAACAGCTTGTCATTTTTTGTCTCTACACGGCCGTGCGTTTTCAATTCTACTCTGGTCTCTGTATCGCGCATGGCGGAGTTCCGCCCCAATGCGCGCACACAGATGCCCCCCCAAAGCTGTAAACCTAGGGAAAACACTGCTCACCACTCCTTGAAAGGAATACAGCATCAAACCACACCCCTTAGAGGAATACAGCGACAAACCACGCCCCTAAGAGGAATACAGCATCAAACCACGCCCCTTAGAGGAATACAGCATCAAACCACACCCCTTAGAGGAATACAGCGACAAACCACGCCCCTAAGAGGAATACAGCGACAAACCACGCCCCTTAGAGGAATACAGCATCAAACCACGCCCCTTAGAGGAATACAGCGACAAACCACGCCCCTTAGAGGAATACAGCATCAAACCACGCCCCTTAGAGGAATACAGAGACAAACCACGCCCCTTAGAGGAATACAGCATCAAACCACATCCCTTAGAGGAATAAAGTGACAAACCACGCCCCTAAGAGGAATACAGCATCAAACCACACCTCTTAGATGAATACAGCGACAAACCACACCCCTAAGAGGAATACAGCGACAAACCACGCCCCTTACAGGAATACGGCATCAAACCACACCCCTTAGAACAATACAGCAGCAAATAACGCCCCTTAGATGAACAGAGCAGCAAACCACACCCTTTAGCCTCATCACTCTTTCTAAGGAACAGAGCAGTTCACTGACCAGGAACTCTGCTAAATATCTTTTCAGAGCAAGCAACAGAACAAAACAAAAAATGAGAATATGATATTAAAGGAAATGGGACACCATGAAGTGGATGCTAGTCCACTGTAGGACACACACGCATTTTGATTGCATTCATAGATCTTTGTTTGACTTGAGAAAAGGTCCCCACAACATCAAAATAACAGGTTTTTATTACATTTTGGAGGACATTTGGTCCCCACAATGTAATATAAACATAATGCACCACCCACACGCACACACACACATACACACAATCTATGGGTAGTTTACAGGTGCTAGTTTTTCTATATGCATAGTTCTGCTGTGATGGAAGAAGGGGGTGGAAAGGCAAAGGAATCCCACAGGAGTCCCCAGTGGTCTGCAGACACACAGGCCACTCAAACCTGGGAAGGTGTGAGGCCACAGCGTTACTCCGTATGGAAAATGATTCCTTCAAATTCAAAGAGTGTTTTTAAAGCCCAAGCCATGAGCAAGTGTAAGTGGACATAAAGTGTTTTGTTTGTCTCACGGAAATCACAAGCCACTTTCAAGTCAATGTCTGCCATGACTAAGCTCTAAGCTCTAAGACTTTAATTCATCCTTTTCAACTACAAAAAGACAAACTGCAACACATGTGGTTTGTGCTATTCAAAAATATTACCATAATTTAACACTCACAAAGTTGATCAGGCTTGAAGCAGCACCCAAATAAACACTTATACAATATGTGGAGTAATTACCAGAGTCAAGTGCAAAGTACCTTTTCTGAAAGGTGTCTACTGCAGCATAGTCCTTCTGTGTTGGTAAAATAAACTTAATTACTGTGGAAATCTCCCATAGAGCCAGTAGCAGCTTGTGCAAACGGCCAGCCAGCCTCCATTGTTCATTACCGTGTACTTTAAGCATAAGTACGGTTCCAGTGAACAGAAACAGCGCTAGCAGTAAGTGGCCAATCCACCGCGCGTCCTAATCTGTGCCAATCATTAACCATCTGTTTTTAGCAACTACTTGCAGTTAAACTTTTTGTTTGTTGTTAATGTTCATCTGTTTTACGGTTTTGTTGGATGGCGTTACCATTCTATGTCACTGTGAACGTTTACATGCACACTACGAAAATCGAATTTTGTGTTAGTCAGAATAAAACTGGACTTTTAAATTACATGTGAACATGTTAGTCCGACTGAAATCGAACTAAAACGAATTTCTCGAAGTCGGACTAAGACACCCAGATAATGCGATTGGGAATCGATTTACTGCATGTGTACGCTCAGTCGGACTCAAACTGGCCTAGGCGCTCTGCATGTGCTCTACGGTTTCTTCCCCTGGGTTTTGACCCGGAAGTAACAGAAGAAGCCAGTACACAGAAGAAACCCGGACCATAGCAGAGGACGTACAGCACGTACGAGATGTAAATGTAAAGCTGACCGAATCACCGCTCAACTAAAGGGCGCTTTTCCACCACACCAGGTACTGTATTTTGGAACGTCAAGAAGGTACCAGAAGTACGGCACTTCAAGGTGTTGGTTTTCCACTGGCATAAAAACTGTTACTGGCGCTGAATGACATCACAACACGAGCCAGGGTATTGAATTAAGAAAATGGCTGTAGTAGGACTGGATGATTGTACAATATCAATACCAATTTTTCAATTCTTACATCGCTAGTCAGCTACTGTAGGTTAAGATCGGGCTTTGTTAATTTCAATTTGATACAGATGTTATAGCACAGGGATTTTAAGTCTTGCTAAAATCGTTTTACTCATAGGAAAAAAAAAATGTTTAAAATGTTTAAAAGCAGTTCTCCAAGACAATCATTTTCATCCTTGCTGTTTAAATCACTATTAGACGGATTTGTGAGAAATTTATGTTGAACTCCCTTTTTTTGTTTCATAAATACCCCAATATTTATTACAACAAAATCACATTGCAATATTTTGATTTATTTCCAATACTGTGCTGTCATATTATATTATACAAAATACTTTGTTTATTGTTATGCTATCCTCATCTTGCTGTATCTCTTCTTCCGACAAGATCGCAACTGAAGCTTGTGTCACTTCATTTGTCAATGCATCCATTATTATTCATTTTATTGTTTTTTATGTCTGTGACATAACAGGTCAACCGGAAAAAGCCCAATACTAACTAGCTGAAAAGAGCCATATTGCCACCTATTGTAGCGGAGTCAGACATATTTCGCTCAGTGATTCAATTCCCCTGTCGTGCATGTATACTGGGACAAAGATAGTAGTCTGAATAAATGGCGTAGTCAAGCTATAATGTATGTAAACGTAGTCACTGTGTGTGTGTTATACTTTTATGAAGTGGAACCAAAACTACCGTTCAGCCATAGTACAATATCTTTCACACGCACCCCACCCCAAGTCTTCCTGTTCTCTCCCAGTATCTCCCAGTCTTGCTGGATCCCTCCCAGTCTCCCTGATCTCTCCCAGTATCTCCAAGGCACCGTGATCTCTTCCAGTATCTCCCAGTCTCCCGGATCCCTCCCAGTCTCCCTGATCTCTCCCAGTGTCTCCCAGTCTCCTTAATCTCTCCTAGTCTCCTTTATCTCTCCCAATCTCTCCCACTCTCCTTGACCTCTCTAACTGTATCCCAGTTTCACCGATCTCTCCCAGTCTCCCTGATCTCGCCCATTCTCCCAGTACGGGTCTCCCTAGCCCCAATGCCCCAACCTCCTATTCCCACCATGTGGCCCAGAAGGTCCACAGCTAGCTATGCTGCTGGAGTTTGGGGCTCACCCACAGGGCTTAATGAGCCAGTGCAGCTCTCTGAGGCCTAGCCTGTCTGTCAGGAGGCAGAAAAAGGCAGCAGAAATCGATGGGGGGTATTGACATGTCAGGCTGCGTGCTGGGATTGGGTGATAATAAAGGTCCCCCAAGGCTGGATCACCTAATGAGAGACAGACAGACAGAGGCAGTCGATGTCCTGGACTCCAATGAAGAAGCAACTCAAGGGAAAAAATGAAGATGAACACTTGGAATTCGCACTACTGCAGGACGGACATAAACAGGCATTGCCGAGGGGAAGCAAATAAAGATACTCCTGCTGAAAAGAACTAACAGCTAACATCTTTGGGTTTTCAGAACCACCTCCTGCAGCCAGAGCTGCATGTTACACATAAGAGGTTTCCATGGACCATCTCATTCCATCTCTGCTTTCCACAGCGTAGCACTGATCACGTTCACCTCCCAAACAGAAAGTCCTTGGCTCGAAACTGAGTGGAAACGCACCATCGTTTGGGGACCAGTAGGTTAGGCCTCTGTGTCTTGGATCAGAAGGTCACAGGCTTGAACCTCAGGGTCGACAAAACGGTTGCATCAATGTTGTGCCTTTAGGCAAAGGTCTTTTATGGAGCATAAGATCATTCTTCTCCACTTGCATGCATCAAAGGGGGCAGATGAAATGAAGACTAAACATCCAAGGACACAAGCATGTCCGCTTCATAGAGCTACACCTTCGGACTGTGTCACTCCCGACCTTCAGTGATGTTTATCCAAAGTCTGACACTGTGTTGCCAGTGAACTGGGAGGATGCTG